TCCGCCGTTCAAAAATTTGAACCGATCGTTGTAAGTATCTCGAAATCGCTCAAAATAATTTTTAGAAATTTTTTCGGATTTTTAGGGCCCCGGAGGACGCCTCACGCGCCACACGCGCCGCCGCAGGGCGAGTGGCTGCTGGAAACCGGTTTAACCGGTTTTCAACCGGTTCTGACCGGTTTGACCGGTTTCAACCAGTTCAAACCGGTTTGACCGGTCTGAATCGGTTTGACTGGTCTGACCCGACCCGACCGTTGACCCGACCCGACCCGACCGTTGACCCGACCCGACCCGACCGTTGACCGTTGACCGTTGACTTTCTTTGACCAAAACTTAAAATGGCTTTGACCGAGCATTTAACGACCGTTAATCTTTTCCGAGTATACCTATCCTGATAGTTTTCGACGTGCCGAATCCATTTCCGTGGTCCGTTTTGTCAAATTCGAATCCGAAGGTCTCCAAATCTACGGTCAAAGTGGTTGACTTTGACTTTGACCAAGAATTTAAATTTTCGAAAAGTCATACTTTATGTTTTTCGACGCCCTGATTCCGATTCCGCAATCCGTTTGGCCAATTCAGACTCGAAATACCTCAAATTGATAGTCAACCCAAAAAGCTTATATACTTAAGATGTTAGCTTTGAACAATTAAATAGGATTTGGGACTGATAAATATTATTGTTTGAAGGTACAAGAGACTCTCCGGATCGTTCGACAGCTCGAACCAGCTCTTCTAGATCAGTTAAACCACGTGTACCAGTATTCACCCGTTCGAAAACTATAGCAGAGCGTGGTGAAACCAGCAATCAGTAGATTTGTTATTTGAATCTATTGTCGAGGTGTGTTCCCTACTTATTATTGAACTGTTTTATTGGTTTTTAATATGTGGTACACCGAATTCATTGGCTATTGTTTTATGGATGCACCAATTTAATGTGACAATTTAGGAATATGGCTGCTATCTAATTTTTGTTTTGAAATGGTATATGATACCATGTTTTTGGATTTGTGGAATTTATGTCACGGTGCAATTGAATTTTGGAATTTAAATACGATGGAATAGCTCTGATCAAGCTAACTGAGCCTAATGTGACTCTTGAGGGCCCCAAGATGTTTCATTAGGTCGGCTTTCCTTTGCTGTGTGCTTAGGGTAAGCTATATGGACTTATTGACTTGGGCTTAAGGATACAAGCTTCAGAGCCTATCCTTAAGTCAGCTTTCTTTTTGCTATGTGCATAAAGTAAGCTATATGGAAAATAATTTTGGAACTACTGATGGTGTACCGGAAAAGGGTTTAAACTATGATTTTCAAAAAGTTAAACTCTTTTACGAATTTGTGAGATTACTGGACTATGATTTGTACCTATTGTGATTTTATGGAAATGTTGGGACACACTGAGCCTAGCTCACCTTTTGAAAATGTTTTCCCCTTTCAGATACTGTTGGTTAGATACCTTGGTTCGAGCACTTGGAGGATCAACATATCTCTTGAAGTAAATCAGATTGTAATGTTTTTATCTGGCAAGTTGACTTTATTTTGGTGACATGGACCTTATTTTAAAATATCAGATTTTATAATGATAACTCTTTTGCTAATACTGCTCGGTTATTGTGATATTGAATTGAAGACATGTTTTAAATTACATTATTATTTATTGGTACTATATTTACGAGTTGGATTTGTAGTATAATTTGTTTATAATTTCAGGTTATTTATAATGTGATTTTATATTGATGGAATAACGGTTTCGAAAAATGTATTTAATAATCATAATGTGATCCACTAGACTTAGTCGAAACGCATAGGCCGGGTCTAGGGGGTTACAGAATCGGTACTCTCTTGGGGGGAATCGATTCCCTCCGAGCATTCTGTTTTTCTCGGAGCCAAACCATTCAGGGGGGAATCGGTACCCCCTTGGGGGGGGAATCGGTTCCCTCTGGACATTCTAGAATTTTTGGCTTTGAATCGGTACACTTGAGTAAGGATTAAAAATGACTTTTGAAAGATTTGGAGTAGTATTTTGATATTCGAATAATTATATTGAATATACTTAGAAAATCTTTTTGGAAAATCTTAAAATTCATTTATCTTAATTTGTTATATCGAAATATCAAAATGTTTTCAACATAAGTAGATCTAGGATTTTATTATTATAAAAAAACTATGTATAATTTTCGGTTATAAAACTGAACCATTTTGTATGGAGAGGGATCTTTTTTCTCTCTTTTTTCATAGGAAATTCAAGGCTTATTCGAAGGTAGTTTTTTCTTTATTTATGGTTCAGTTTTGTTTTCGAAAAAAGAAACTTGTTATGAATCTATTTCTCATTTCGAAATAAAAACAAGCATAATATATATGTGTGTATGTGTGTGTGACTTATTTTACAACAAGTAAAAGAAAAAATAGAGATAAGGGTAAGGGGTTTACTTGTGAGGGAAAAGTGAGTCAAGCCTCGGTGGTCGGAGTGAGAGGAAGCCCAAGCGTTGAAACATTGTTGGAGGTGTTTTTAGCGATTTTCGGTGGTTTTAGCCCATAATGGAGGATTACGGGGTAGATCTAGGTTTTGGGGTTATTTTCGGGGAGTTTAGATATTTTCAGCCATCGTGTGCAACGGCCGAAGCTGCGGCCGAAAGTGGGTAAGGTAGCCGACAGTGGGCCGACCGAGGGAGTGTTGAGAGAACTCTCCTAAAATGTTTTTGGGGTTTGGTTCATAAATGAAAAAGAAGAAGGAAATAAGATATATGTAGGAAAAGTTAATGGTTAATTGTGTTTTAAATACCTACAACTTACCATGTTTTACATTTTGGTCCCTGTAGGGACCAAAATTAGTATTTTACCTTTATGTATACATGCTTTAATTTTCAGTTATTCACGTTATGGCCCTGTTATTTTAGCGTGTTTTATATTTTAGTCTAATAGGGTTCAAAAGTATAATTGTTCCTTTTATTTGCCTTTTTATTTTTTTTGGTGAAATTTATTTTTAATCCTTGTAATTTAGCCTTGTTTTTGCATCCTAGTCATGTGTAGTGACTACTTAATTTTTTTAATATTCGTGGACTAATTTTGTGATTTTCTCTTTTTAATTTAGCAGGTTATTTTTTAGGCTTAAATAAAAATGGAAAATTGCACTTAGGTCCTTGTATATTGCGCATGTTTTGCATTTTAATCCCTCGTCTGTTTGTTTTATTTTATTTCGAATTAGGATTTAAATATCAATTTATTTTATGTTAGTCCCTTTGTATGTTCAATTTTAGTTTAGTAATTTTAAATTCATGCAATTAAGTCCATGAATGTATGTTTATTTTATTTTTATGATTTTGTTATTGTTTTATTTATTTATTTGTTATTTTAATTATTTTTATTTGGTTTATTAATTTTTTTATATATAGATTTAATTCACAGATTTAGTTTTAAATTAGATTAATATTCAAATCATATTATAAATTAGGACGACACTTTAGTTTAATTAAAGAACAATTCGATTCAAGTTTTCACACTAAAAATGTCCGATTACTCGAGTTGATTGTTCGAATCCTTAATTTATTAATCTTCAAATAATTTTAAAAATTACCTTAGCATAATTCCTTTGTTTTAAAAAGTATTAGGGCTTAGAGTTGTAGATTAATCCTTTAAACTTTAAGATTTATAGACTTAAATCCGTAAGTTTTAGAATTTCCTATTTAGGTCTTATAATCGTAGTTTTTTTTAAATCTTCTGACTATTTAGTCCCCGCACTTAATTAGAGATTTAACATTGACATTATTAAATAGGATATATAGAGCCTCCACTTTTAGATAGATTTTAATATAGTCCCCCTAATTTAGGGAATAATCCGAGTCGGCCCTCGCGTAAATACTCAAGGGACCACCTCGGTTATTTGATTCAATAGTCTGTTTAAAATTAAAATAAGGTTAATATTAGAACCTACACTTATATGTTTGAATCTTTAGGTCCTTTAATTTTTAATTTTTATAAGTTGACACTTTAAGCCAGAAATAACCTTAATTTACTTTTAGTTTAATTATGATAAATAAATTTTGTTTGATTGCATTTTATTTTTTAACTCTAAGGCACTGTTCACTTATTTAGGAATTAATAATATATCTCTCGCCATCATGCTCCGGGGTGATTATTAGTGATTCCCGAAATAGGTCGACATCCTTTTCAAAGATCACATCATATTTTCTAAAAACGAGGCAATATTAGTTTATTAGACACAATAGTTGATATCTTACATTTACGATTGGGAGCAAATGCTATCGGTCTTGATAAACGAATACCCTTTTCAACTTTACATCCATAATGATTTTCAAATTAAATAAATATTGAACCCAAAATTTTCGATTTTAAATATAGGGTAATCAACTAGGTACCAATTTTTGGGCGCTTGTGGGGGTGATAATCCTTTCCCACGCGTAACTGACTTCCGAACCCGATTTCTGGATTTTCGCAGACCTTAAAACTTGGTACTTTGATAAAAATAAAATATTTTATTAAAATCACCCGATTTTTATGGTGTCCCAATCGCACCTTAAATGATTGGTGACGACTCCTCACATTTCGAAAATCTTTTCAAAGAGAAAACCATCGAGTTGGTATCGATCTTTCCCTGTCCTGGCGAAAAACGATGTCGACATAACCTTATTTTTATTATTAAATATATTTTTCTACTCTCATATACGATAATAAGTTAATAGTTTTTTTAAATATTTACATTATAGTATTATATATTATTATAAATTTAATTTCTATATGATATGAACTATATAATATATAAAAATAATATAATATATAGAAAATAAGAACTCAAGTATGACTCATATTTTATAACAGACCTATTGTTTTGGTCTAAATCAATATTTTAGGGGTAAAATGTTTTATTTAAATCATATCAAATTTAGAAGGGACCTTTAAACTTAGATACTTTACCCTTAAACAAGTCAAGTCAAAGATGCTATTGGGGATTGACAGAAAACAAGATTAAAATGAGGTAGGGTTTCCCCTATATTAAAAGATCCCGTGGAAACCAAATCATTGCTTAAAGCTCCTATTCTTGAAGAAGAAGAAGATGAGAGTAGATGGGTAACAAGTTCCAATCAGAAGAGGAAGCAGGTGGGTGCAGGTTCATTCCATAAAACAAGCTCAGCCGATTACTCCGCTATGTCTCAAGGAGGTTCAAGCTCTCATAACCAATCTACAAAGGACAAGTACGGATTCATCTCTGATAACTTCTCAACTTTTCCCCAGGTTCTCCTCCTATTTCTTTTTCGCCATTCTTCTTCTTCTTCTTTGCTTTAACCCTTACCCAAATCACTCATCTATTTTTATGATTAAAATATATTATTGTCTTAAATTCAATTAATTGATTGATTAATGTGTATTAGTAAAACTTTTTATTTCTTTGATTTTTAGGTTTTTAAAAGAAAATTTTAAGCTTAGTTTAAGTCAACTTGTCTAGTGGCTTGTTGCCGTTGTTGGTCTATCACATCTGCCAGTCATAGCTCTCTAAAATATCTTCTATTTTTTTAAAAAAAAAAACAATAATTATAATAATACAAATCATTAAGATACTTTTCATCTTTCTATATAATTAATGCTTGTACCCTACTTAAAGTTTTAACAAAAAAAAATATTCGCAGAAAAGCTATAAGAGAGATGTTACAAAATTTCATTACGACACACAGAAACTATTAGGACAAAATTTGGAGGGATAAAGTGTGTCGGGGGTTAACCTGCCTTCAATCTTCAACGCTCAACTAAAATTATCTTATTTTATTTTTGAGATAACTTCCTAAATCTAAAAACTATTAGAAAATTTTAAAACTGTGCTAAGAGGTAATCAATCAATAAAATTAAATAATAATAATAATATTAAAATATATTATTATTTAAAAAGTAGAGGGTACCAATTTTTAAATATTTTCATGTAACTTTTCTAAATTACCCAAGTTGTGGGTGTATTATATTATAATATAGATGTGCCCAAATAGATTAAAAGTAATTTATTAATAGTCCAAAGTGTTTGTTTATCTGAAATTTGAATTTTCAAAAGTTCAAATATTGAATCTCTACTGTTTTCAGGTATATTTATTTGGTAGCAGTGTTTTATGCATTTATTATTATTAGGTTGAGAAGTGTTTTTAAATTAATTTTTTTATCTTTGTTAAACAATATTATTATTTAGACTTAAAAATAGTTTTGACAAACAAATAATAAAGGATACGATGAAGAATAAAATTGCACATTTCCAATATGAAAAATAATAGATGCTTTTGACATCATAAGCAATGAAGAAAAAGGTGTTATTTGAGATAATATTGTATAAAAATTTATAACTTTTATATTTTGTATGATATGAAAATAAAATAATTAATGAGTTCTAAATCAACTAGAAATAATTTTTTTTTCTTCCTTTTAAATACGGTTAAGATTAACCAATAATCAGTTAGTCTAGTAAGATGAGACACTAGATTTTTTATGTAAGGTAAAAATGTTTGAATTCTGATATTTGTGAATGGAGCAAATTAGATTATGAGAGTTATCTTCGTTTCTACGGTACTCGATTTAAATTAATCGATTAATAGATCAAATATTAATAATTGATTTAAAAAAAATAAGATTAATATCAAACTTAAAGTTTATTAAAAAATTTAATTTAAGAATGGAACATAACACTAACCAAATTATATATATTTTCCTTATTACATTGGTAATTTATGGAAACAAATTTTAGAAATATATTTTTAAATATAAAATATTTTTTATTCATTCTTGATGTAGATATTAAAAAATAACATTTGTTAGATACTATATGTAAAAAAATAATATTTGTTGGATACTATATGAAGTTTAAATATAAAAAAATATTACCGAGTAATATTTGTATTACTTGAAATTTGATGTATGAAGTTTAATAGTAAGTAAAATTCGATTTAATTTAGAAAAATAATATTTTGATTTAATTTAACTCGAAAAATTTATATTTGAATTGATTTGACTTATAATTTTATAAATTTAACTTAAAATTTTTAAATTTGAATCGAGTTATAAATAGAACTTGAATAATTTAAACTTTATGAAAAATATATAAGATATATAGTTATAAAAAATTTCTTAAATTAGTGTAAATATAATGAATTAATGATAATATTATATATATTTATAATTAAATTTAAATAGTTCTATTCAGTTATAAAAAATTTAATACTGTAACAAGAGTGAAGAGGGTGCACGTATAGGGACAGAAGAACGCGTTTCTCAACGCGTTTTCTCACCTCATCAACGCGTTTTCTTTAACGCCTTTAACAAAGTTGGATAAGATTTCTATGGACAGAGATTGACCGCCGGATAAGATGAAAACATATTTTGTTAATTTAGATCATTTTAATTTTAAAAATATATTTAATTAAAGGATTTTTTTACAGAAAATTCACCATGATAGAAAATAATTATCTATCAGAAACATTTTCTTCAAATTTTTTCTATCTAGCACATTCTCTGACAAAACGCAGATGACGCATGGTTTCGTCCGACTGACATCAAGTCATGAAAGGCGTGGATGATCATCCGCGTCTTATCTGAACTAACATCATGTAAGTCATCCACTCCTTATCATTTTAAAAATTAAAAAAATAAAATTATAAGGACTAACATCGTAATTTAATACTTATTAGTTTCATGAGTTGAAGAGTTTAATAATGTTAGCTTATATAAACATATTGCAGTGTTTTGATTATGTTTCTTGAAAATGGGAGATAAAAATTAAAATGTGTATTTTTTAACAATGTATTTAGGTTATGTAACCATAATTTGACTTCCATTGTTTTCATTACATATAATTGATGAAAATCAAATATAATTTAAGTTTAAAAAATTTAAAAAGAAATTGTCTCTATTGTAGCATGCCTTCATTGGGTAATAAAATTACGATTAGCTAAAGGGAAAATAGAAAATGTTTGTGAAAGTTGTTTTCCGAAGCTTTAATTTGTTGAATGAAAGGATGACATAAGCCATTACATTGTGGCAATAGAAAAAGCTCTAGCAAAACAAAGAAAATAATTAGTAGCTTTTATAGCAATACATATTTTGGCAAATGGTATTCCAGTTCTCATAGATTATTTTAATTTCTTTTTCAGTCGAAAACAAATCAGTAAAAGCCTCACTTGCAGCAATTATAACAGAAAGAAAGATACATCACTCACTTCCTTTCCTCCTTTACATAAATCAGTAATATTATAAAGAAAATTCGATTCCACTATCTCATACAATCATACAAACAACCAATTGGCTTTTATTCTTTTTTATACAGTGTATAAGCTCCCCTACCCCACCGTATACTCTTTTCCCCCACACTATTAATATATTTATTTAGCTAACAAATAATAAATTATAAAAGGAAAAAAGGAAAACAAATTAACCCCACTACATATAAATTAAAAATTACACCCCATGTGCATGTGCTGTGCATCCAAGTCATCCCCACCAGTTCATGTTAGCATGAAAACATCTTGATGATAATTTGTTCATGTTTTGCATTTGAAAGAAGAGATCATACCCCAATTATTTTTCACTTTTCTTTTTTGAATTGATATAAGATAACTTAAAAATTAAACAAATAATAATTTATCAATTTCTTATTACATTTATATGTATATAATTAAAATAAAAATGTAATGAAAACGATTGAAGTCAACTCATGGAAACATAACATAAACATATTATCAAGAAATACACATTTATTTTAGCTTTTACCTACATTGTCAAGAAACATAATCTAAACACTTTAATATGCCTATATAAGCTAACCCCATTAAACTCTTGAACTCATGAAACTAATATGTATTAAATTATGATGTTAGTCCCTATAGTTTTATTTTTTTTAATTTTTAAAATGTCAAGGAATCCGTGCTTGTCCTTACATTGTGCCAGCTAGGATAAGACACAGATGACCATCCGCACCTATCCTTACGCGGCGCCAGCTCGGTTAAGACTCGGATCGTTATCTACGCCTTGTTAGAAAGGGTGCTGAATCGCTAAAATTTGTAGAAAAGGTGTGTAATTATTTTATGTCGGGGTGATTTTTCGGTAAAAAATCCTTAATTAAAATGTTCTAATTAAATCTAAATATTTTTTTATTATTTAATTAAATTAATAAAAATAATAGTTCATTCAAACTTGATTCGTACATATACAATTAATTGAAATGGACTAGCCATCAGACTGATGATGTAACCCCCTCAGACCGATGCGGATAGCCCGATCCGATCTGGAGTGTCACATTAGGGCCACCGGAGCGACCCACCGTAAAAATAGCGAAAAATTTAAAACTTTTCTTAAAACATATAAAACATAAAATGATTTATTATTATTCAGAAATAAGGTAGGTTTTTTTCAAATTCAGATATAAAACAAAAATACAATCTACATGCCCCCTAATCACATGTACCATACTCTGCAAGCAACACCGGAAAACTCCCTTACTGATGTTGATAGTGATACTAGTACAATTCTTTTAACCTGCAATGATGAGTAATAGAGTGAGCTTCGAAAAGCTTAGTAATACAGAACTACCATATGATGCTACATGACATGCAGATAATTGGAAAACCATAATTTCCTTATTGAATCATACGTATACCAGTGGGCAGAATAATTTGGGGTTCCCTTAGAAGTTCATCGAGTAGAATCCATGAATCTCAGTTCATAAGAAACCTTTCATACTATCACTTTTTCATGAGGTTGAATAGGGTGCCTAGTGTGTTCCATCAATACGATAAAACCATAGTAGGTACACTAATCAAATGATAGTTCAGTAAAATTCCATAAACCATACTGTAGTGGAGCTTTTTAAACTCGTATTTTAAAATCATCTTACAAAGAGTTAACTTAAGCGAACATCTTAGGGCTTGAGAGCCTACCCAAGATAGATTTTGGAGCTGTGGGGCCTACCTAAGAACACATCTTAGGGCCGTAGGGCCTACTCGAGAATGATCTCAGGGCCGTAGAGCCTAGCTAAGAGTCACATTAGGTCCATAAAAATTTTCCAGCTTGATCAGAGCTGTACTTTACAAATCTGTATCTCCAAGATACAGTTTATACAATGATACAAATCCATAAGCCATCACCGTTAAGTCGGTGCATCCATAAAACAGTAACCATAGATTTCAGTGTACCACATGTTAAAACAATAAAACAATTTTTCAAAATACAAGGAACACACTAGAGAATCCAATTATTTTTCAGATGCA